GGATTTTCATGTGGTCTCCAAGTATAAACCTGCCTCGTCTGTTTCTGAGCCCCCTGCAGCACGCTGAGTGTCTGAGATTAGAGCTCACGAGGGTTAACTCTCCAAATGTGGCTGCTCCAGCTTTAAGTAACAGCCGCCCAAACCTCCAGTGTGCTGTCCATAACATGGCCATTCTCGGCTCTTCAAATAAAGTACTCTAGGTTCTCGGTAGACACACCTTCAGATGAAAGGTTAGTGATAGAAGTCAGCTCCCGATCTGGGCCGAACCCAGGAGCTCCAGCCCCATGGTAACAACCTACAGTTCCATGGCAACCCCTTGAGCAGCTGAAGGAAACGCCATAACCGGCCTTCTAGACAGACAGCCTGGCCCCCACACCAGTGATTAGTGGGAAAATGTCATCTACATTGAAAATGCACAAATGACAACTCCAAGTTTCAAGGAAGAGGGAGCAAGGCTTCTCATGAGACCTGTTGTTTTGAAGATATACAGACAGTACACAAGAGGTCAGAAGTTTTGACACTGGGTGCCTGGGGAACCCACTCGGCCTCCCTCTGGGACTGGGACCAGAGCAACCTGGTCTCCTATGACCACCCAACCCCAGCACACCCCGGAAGGAATTTCCTCCTCACTCAGTGTGCATACTATCAGGGAAATGAAGTCGGTGGGAAGACCTCGCGCCTTGCAGAATTCTTCTCTCACCCCCAATTCACTAGGGTATTTTTACACACTATTAAACCACAGGAGTCATTTTATAAATGTCATCATAGTTTTTTAATATTTTACATAAAAAACTGTATACACAGCTTATAGAACTTTTATGTAAACATCATAAGCTCACCACTTTGTCATTTGTCAGTTTATTTAAAAAATAAAAAACAACCAAGACAACAATTTAGTAGAAGTACCACTGGGTGGGGAAGGGAGGGAAAGGAGGCTAGGGGTAAGTTCATTCTCTGTACAGAGGTGCAGAGAAAATTTCACATAGCTTCAAAGACTGCCTTGTGAAAAAAAAGGGGGGGAGGTTTAAAGAGGCCCCAAAACTTGTAACTGCCCTTTATTAAACTAGTGTGCATACCTGCACAAATAAAATCACAAAAACAGTGTTGCCACTTTAAAAAAAAATTAGTGGTTTTTTTCTCGTCTCGTATTTTAAAAGTCATCATCATTTTCCATTAAAACATCAGAAGTAGATGAGGTTACAGCGTACAAGTGTGGTCAGAATGCTACTGTCTTATGCAAATGACAAGTGCATTAAGTGTCAAACAATGAAACAATTGTGCAAAGAATTCTTTCAAATAAAAAAACCCAACAAGTTTTAGCCTTTAAATAAATCAAATGACATCAGTTTCTTGGACTGAACAATTTTCACTTGTAGGACAGGCACAAAGTTCGCTTATGGCAAAAATGACCCGCAGCACACTCTCCCTCCTCCTTCCCATGGCAGGTGAGGGGTTCGCTGGAGGCCGGCGTGCAGGAGACATGAATCTGGAAGCTGTGTCCTCTCAGCCCCAAGTCAGTGGCAACTGCCTTCCGCAGGGGTTGGAAAGACGACCAAGTCCTGTTCATGCTTGGATGGGCACCTGACCCAGGCTGGGCTAGGGCTGTTCCATGCCCTGTCACTCCACCCACCACCACCATTAAATAACACCATCCTACCTCCGAAAATAAAATTAAATCTATATTTATATAACACCCCACCCTCCCCAGCCCCACCCCCCTCCCGCAGTTCCCGTGGTCTATGTTACAGACAAGAGACAGCAGGAGCTCGCCAGTTATGGGCGAACATCTCATGGGGCGCGGCAGCACCCCGCGCCAAACTCCTCTCCGGGGACCAGAGGCGGGGGGCGGAAGGGCGGGGGTGAGGGGGGAATAAGACGGGGTGGGAGGGGGTAGTCAGAACCTACACACAGCCACACTCTGAAGAGGCTTCGCTCTTCAGAAAAGGGTGCTCAGGAGACCCTTGGCACTCAGTGGGGCGCCTGGGCCTGTGCAACACAGCCGGACGCACACAGACACTGGAAAGGGGGCGCCCGGTGCCTCCCGCGCCGATTCCCGGCGACAGAACAACAGCCGCCAGGCCACTGCTGCCAGGCGGGAAGGCAGACTTCAGGCAGTCCCGTGCGGTCCTTGGGAAGACCGGCCCGGGAGGCGGGGCCACGCCGGCAGGGCTGGAGGGTGGGCGCGGTCCTCATAGCACCTTGCAGCAGTTGATGCAGCCGTTCTGGGAGCCGTAGCGCTTCTGCAGCGCGGCACGCGTGGCTGTCTCGAAGACCTCGCGCACTCCCTCCTTGGTCTTGGCCGAGCATTCGAGGTAGTCGTAGGCTTGGATACGCATGGCCATAGCGCGGCCGTCATCAGTGCGCACCGGTTCCTGCTTCATGCGGGCCAGCTCTGTGCGGACGTGCTCGTCACTGCGCAGGTCTTTCTTGTTGGCCACCAGGATGATGGGCACGTTGGGGCAGAAGTGCTTCACTTCGGGCACCCACTTCTCGGGGATGTTCTCCAGTGAATCAGGACTGTCCACCGAGAAGCACATGAGAATCACGTCTGTGTCCGGGTAAGAGAGCGGCCGCAGGCGGTCGTAGTCCTCCTGACCCGCCGTATCCCACAGCGCCAACTCCACCTGCTTGCCGTCCACCTCGATATCGGCCACATAGTTCTCGAAGACAGTGGGCACGTATACCTCGGGGAACTCGTCCTTACTGAACACGATCAGCAGGCACGTCTTGCCGCACGCGCCATCGCCCACCACCACCAGCTTCTTGCGGATGGCCGCCATGAGAGCGCCGGGCCCGGGCAGCAGGAGGGGGTCCGCGAACGCCTCGCTGCCGTCCCGCTCGCCGCTCACTGCTCACCTCGGGCTGCGCGCTGGGGGCAAGGGTCGCTAGCTGCACCCAGACCCCGCGGTGGCGCGTCCTCTCTGTGCGCTCCGGCTGCCGCGGCTGGGGCGGTGGGGGCGCGGGGGCATAGGGCGCACGGTGCGTCTCTGCTCTGCTCCCGGGCGGTGGCCGCTCTTCTCGCCCCGGACCCGGGGTCGGTGCCTTTATGTGCAAACCGTAGTTCAAGCAGCGGACCAGGCCTAGCGTCCTACCGGGCCTCCCTAGGCCTTGCCAGGAGGAATGGAAAGCTCAGGACTCCGGCCAGACTGCGGTGGCAGACGAAGGCTGCGGCCCTAGCGCCCGCTATTTAAAGAGTTCGGCCACTTTCTTAATATAGCCGCCCAATGGGAAGCGAGCCGACTGAGCTCATCGCTGCGGATCTCGGCTATGATTGGTTGTTCGCTGCAGCCCAGAGGCGGAGCCGAACAAACTTGATTGACGGCTCAGGCCGCGGGGCTGGGAGAGGCGGTGACTAAGGAGTCTGTGCTGCGGCTGGCGCTGCAGGGCTCTGGGGGCTCCAGGGTTCCCTTCTTAACCGCACCTTTTATGCGCGATGTCGGAGCCCTGGAACTGGCTGCCTGGAGTCGGCGGGGCCTGGGAGAGCGGTGCTTAGAAAGGTGCACTTTGTGGGGTGTAGACGACTTCCTCCCACTCAAAATGCCCCTCTTCCTTGCAAACTTCCAGCGGGTGGTCAGACCCCTGGGGCGGGGGGGGGGAACCGGGCGGCTTCTTTAACGCGGTTTTGCTTTTAAATAAACACACACACACATTTGTTTCCTAGCAAAGTTTTTGGTATTTTGTTTTTGCTTTTTCCTTTTGAAAGCGGCCCCTCCGTGATCTACTCGGCCACCCTACCCCCCTCACCGGGTTATTCCCTGGGGCAGCCCAGGTTTGGACCCATTGACACCCAAGCCACTGTGAGCTGGCTGAACTAGGGCAAAGCCTCGCGGCCCCTCCAAGTCCTACCACCTACAGCCCTCCCCTCCCCCAGCCCGCGGCTCTAGATGAAAATTAGGGAAAAGAGGAACAGTGAAAAGGGAAGAATGAAGCTGGTTGCAGAACTTTATGTCCACTTGGAGGAAGTTATGAAGCAGAGGAAAAAAGAAAAAAAAGACAGCCTGGGCCCTGGTTTGCATGATTACTTCGGAACCTGGTCGTCTGAAGTAGATGTACAATAAAATTCAACCTCTCCACATGCGCGCCTTCCCTCCCCCGCCTCCCCATTAGGCAACAAGAGGCTGGGGGAAGAAACTTGAAGGTGGGGACACAGCAAAGTAGTCCTGGTGGGGCCTTTGGTGCAGGGTCCCCAGCCTCCTGTCACACACCCACAATCCATCCATCCCACAGAGATCCTCCAGGAGATGACACCCACATCAGATCTGGAAGAACTAAATTGAGGGATTTCAAAGGACAGAGCAGGTAAGAAAGGGGGAGGGGCAGCAGCGCTGGCCCTCCAGGAAGGAGGAACAGCATGAACGAAAGCAGAGGTGTGAAGGGTATAACAAACTCTAGGAACCGGAACTAGCTTAGTGTGGCCGCACTTGATGGAGAAAGTTGAAACGCAAGTTAGGGCCCATGGTGGAAGCCTAGAGCACCAACTGAGCAAGTTGGTCTACTCAATTTAGAGGGAAGGCAATGCCTATCGGATTTGAAAGTAGAGACCCACCACATCAGGCATTTCTGCCTCCCTCTCTAACACCGAAGCTGTTGGAAAGCCAGGGTTCTTTCTTATCTCACATCTTGAAGATCTAGCACAATGCCTGACACTGCGAGAATCTGTAAATGACTAGAGAATTCACCTAAATGTTCAGAAACTCGGTTGGAACTTTCTGGGGGTCTCCTACCTCAAATTCCAGACTCTGCTTTCACAGCCATCCAAACAAGCCCATGCAACCAGCTGCAACTGAGCCCTGGGGTTTCCATCTGGATTCACAAATTGAGATCTAGGTCTCTATGTGGACACCACAGATAGAAAATCAGGTCAAACGAGACATTGTGCCTCTCACCCCCAGGGCCCATCCTATGGAGAACAGCACATTCAAAGCACCGAACTGCTTCCTTCACAATGGATTAGCCTCACTCAATGCACAGCTTATTAGTTTTGTTTTGCTTTTGTTTTTCAGATCTAAGGAACTAAACTGTCAGTGAGTCCATAATTTTTTTCCACAGTGGGATCCCATGGGAGAAAGTAAGTTATTTTGGTCGCTGGTTTAGTATTATCAAACAGAAACAGTTTGTCCACCCGGCACTAGCAGAGCCAAACACTGAGAATTGCAGCGAAGAAAGACTGGCTATTTTATTATGAACGGCACCACCCAGGAGAATGGGAAGCTAACGCTTAAAAAAAAAAAAAGGGCCTGGTCCCCGATGGCATGTAGGTTACAGATTGATTATGTAGGACAAGATCATAAGACACTGTGGGTTAGGGGGTCTGAGATCATGCTGGGAGCTGATTGGTTAGAGGTGAGGTAGGGATAATAAATCATTTCTTCAGGTCTTGAGGACAGTTCTGAAATCCATTAAATCATCCATCCCTCTGTCTGGTTTCATGGAAAAATAACCAGGAAGCCTTTCCACCAGAGCCTTTAGGGCTCTGGAGCTGGAACATAACTCAGGTCAAGATGCTATCTTTAGCCTGCCAGAAGTCCAGAACTGTGACCATTAGGTTCAGCTACTGTTTTTTGCTGCCTTGTGGGTTGCTGATTATCCAGGGGGAAGGGCTAGGTCTCTGAAGGGCATGTGTAGAGAGACTGCACTATGATTTCTAGAACCAGGATTTAAAGCTAAATGTAATCAAAGTCATAAAGACCCTTGGTTTCATTATGGCTCCAATCTGGAAATGTTTTCTTGTCTCCCTCCTCCTTTTTTTTCTTTTTCTGTTTCTTTTTTTCTTTTTTTTTTTTTTTTTTTTTTTTGGTTGGCCTATTAGAAAACTCTTATCTGAATTTTTCTTTTTTTATTCAAAACCTTTTATAGCTGTATCATTAACACTGCTTTCTTTGGTCTTAACATAGGTTAGAAATCTTGGCCATGTTCTTAAGCTTCAAATATTTTAAGAAATCAAACAATTAAAGTTTGTGCCATGTATTTTTTTTTAAACTAAAATACAAAGAATCAGGAAGAATGATTTAATTCACTTTGTTTTCTGATTCTCAGACATATCATATGAGGTGTTCCAGGCTTGAGTTTCCGTATCAAAATACTTTCTAAAAATATTCAGTAAATATGCCAAAGTAAACAGACAGAAAAATCTGTGTTCTGCAGCAACTTCTTTTCATGGTATTCTCTTTCTCTCTCTCTCTCTCTTTTTTTTTTTTTGTACAGGATGCTGTTGTCCCACACAGGCTCTGAGGAGACTGGCTACTTCAAAGGTTGCTCCACTCACAGGCCGAACTTTTCCATACTAGGTGATGTACCAGTCCCCTCCCTTCCTAGTACACTCCCACTGAAAGGCAAGGATAAAACTGATGGTCTAGAAGAACAAATCATTCTAATAATTAACTTAACAGCACAGATTCATTGTATAACAGATACCCGCACCAGTGAGAGAAGGAGGTTATCCTTCAGACAAAAGAAGGGTGTTAATCTGTCTCCGGTCTTCCTCGTAAGGTATTTGGTCTTTATTTTGCCCTGTATCTCCTACAGATCCGTAAATCTCCCCTCAACTCCCCCCAGAGGAAAACTGGAGACTGGAATGTTCATTAGATTTTAGCGCCACCTTGTGGCAATCATTACATGGGTTTTTTTTTTCCTTAAAAAAGAGTACAAACGTATGATTATTAAAAAACCTTATCTATAAACCCTTCCCCTTTTCCCCTGAAATTCCCTGGGTTTACAGGAACAAGTATTAAGGACACATGGACAAAAATTGGGTGGGGAAGTAGAAATGGGAGGGAGGTGGGGAGGGATGGGGGCGTGGGCTGGGATGGGAGTAAAAGATGGAACACTGTACTTGAACAACAATTAAAATAAAATATAAATAAATAAACAAATAAAAGTTGTTCACTGTTAAAAAAAAACCTTATCTAACCAAAAGCATGCATTTTAATGACTATTTTTATTTTGAGGTATTTCATAGAATGTAAAATCCTAAAGGATGTTTTCTAAAATTCTTTAGAAATTCTTCACATATATACTTATACACATTTAACTTCACCAGCACTTTAAAAAAATAAATTTCTAGTTGAATGGTAACTTATAAAAGAGAGTAGAAAAATAAATAGACGCTATAGATAGTTTAGATAAACATGGACTTCATTGTTCTTTAATTATAATGTGTATAAATGGAAAACAACTTTCACCATGAAAATCTGTTGTGTTTGTTTTTTTTCAGTTTTAAGAGCTTCATTGCTGGATATTCTGACATAATTAGAGGTAATAGTAATTCATTTACAAATAAGCATTTACTGAGAGCCATTCCTTCCAACCAATTGTTTGGGTTTTTTTTTCTAATTTAAAGAAGGCGTAACTTAAAGACTCTAGAAAATTTTTCAACTTCCATCTCAATACAACGAATTTTAAAAAGGGACAGGCTCTTCTAGAACCAGCCATATCATTTCTCCTGGGAAAGCTGACATGATCTCACCTGGTTCCTTCAAGGCCTGTCCAGCCATGAGTTACATAATCAAGCAGCCGAGCTGCTTTCCAGAGTCTCCAGCTGTGAGCAACAGTAAGGGAAACATACCCTGCCTGCCTCAAGATGGTGACGCAGGGTAACCCAGGCCTGAGAGATGCCTGGGCACCCAGGAGAAGCACCGTAGCCGGACTGTGAAGCTGCGGAATGTGGGCACTGAACCCTGATCAGACCTTCTGTTTGCCTGGGGAGTGGGCAGTGGGCACCCGGACAGCTCCTGATGGCTCTCAAACCGCACTGTCCCCTCCAGTAACCAGCCACAGGGGCCTGCTGAGCATTTGAAATGCTGCTGGTGCCACTGAAGAACTAAGTTTCTTATGTGATCTAATCTGAGTTCATTTAAAATTGGATTTAAGAGCTGATGTGCAGGGTGAGGGAAACGGGGCAATGTCAGTCAAAGAGTATGAACTCCCAGGTATGAGATGGATGAGTTCTGAGAATCTAATGCACAGCATGGGGCTCGCAGTTAATAACAGTGTATTATATACTTGAAAGTTGCTAAGAAAGTACATCTTAAATGTTTTCATCACAAAAAAGAAACTTACGTAGTGTGATGAAGATGTTAGCTATGGTGGTAATCATTTTGCAATGCATAGGTGTATCAAATCAACACAGTGTACACCCTAAACTCATACACTGTCATGTAGCAAAACTCATATGACTGTCATGTCATATTGTGTCCCAATATAGCCTGAAAAAAATAATTAAGTGAATACTTAATATTCACTTAATATTAGTGATCCTTAATATGATAAGGATTGCTAAAACAAACGTAAGAAATAATACTTGATTCAGTTATGGGGCAACTTAAATACATGTTTGAAACAACTTGGGTGCATAAGTCTGCTTTTTCCTACTGGAAAGTTTATGAAATCTAAACACAGATTGATGGGCCCGAAGTGTTTACCTTGAAAAAATTAGAGTGTTCAAAGCAGGCCCACGAAAGTAAGTAAATAAATAAATGAGTGAATACAGGTTGAGTATTTTCTATGTAAATTTAGTGTCCAAACTGAGACAGACATGCTGTAACTATAAAATAAATGCAAAAATCTGAAAACATCAATGGAAACACATGTTAAAAAGTTCACAAATAACTTATTTATTAATTACAGGTTGACCTGATAATATTTTGGGTGTGGCAGATATGTATTTAAATACCTGAGATTTAATAGGTTGGATATATTTAAGTAGATAATTCAAGTTAATTTGATGATGTTATGGGTTTTGATGTGACGACTAGAACATTTTAAGTGATACTTGTAGTCCGTGTTACATTTCTATTGGGCGGTATTGCTCTGCAATGTCTGCAAGTTCCTGTGGCTCACTAGCTACTCCCTCACTCAGCATCCTCCTGGGAGTCGGCTTTATGTAAGGCCCCTGGAACTGTTACCATAAAACAGCCAGTTGGGGGGGGGGGGTGCCAGGAAGTCTCTTTCACTGGTCAGTTGATGACAGCGGGAGGTTCTTACACTGGACAAGTGAAAAGCTAGCAAGATCATTGGATAGAACAAAATCCCTTCCTGCCCCGGTATCAAGTTGGGGGCGGGGCCAGAGGAAGGCAGGCCCATGTGCCATAGAAGTGAAAATGGTGCTTGTAGAGGTTCTGGTCCAGAGGGCTGTCAGTCTAGCCTGAGAAAAGAAGGGATTGATTGGGAGATAGACCCACCCAAAGTGCATGAAAGTTTGGGGAGTTGGTTGGTCATTTTGAGAAAACACCTGGTCCATTGCGCGCCCATGCTAATATAATCCCAGGGGAACAAAGAAGCTGGCTCGACATGACCCACACCCACGTGGTGCACTCACCTGTTCTCTTTAACAACCATACTGTTAAGGGCACGTGTCCCATGTCCTCCAGGAGGAAACTTTTCACTCTCTCTTACCCACCAGGGGATGTACTCACTGGTGGGTTTCCTTTCCTCTCCAAAAAAAGAGAGTCGAAAACTACAACCCGTCCAATTTTGATAGAAAAGTGGGGCTTGTCCATTCTTTTCTGGAACTCTCCTATCAACCCCAGCCTTCTCAGTTCGGTTCAATAAACAGGGATTTTCAGAGTGCAGAAAGGGAGGTAAAGGCACGAAAGATAAGGTGGGGTCATTATCAAGGAGTCAGTTCACTAGCTGTGGGGGCAACTTTGCCTGCAAAACCCTCACCCCGCCCCGCCCGGTCCACCACGGATGAAAGTGAAACTAACTACCAAGACAGGATCTGCTGGGGGAGGAAAGGTGGCCGATCCCTCAAGGGGAAGGGCCGAGAGCCCCTTCCTCAAGGGGCTTTTATTGGGTTCATTTGCACAAGAATACAGGTAAGGATCAAACAATAGATAGCATTCAAAGAACTATGAGGGCTTATTCTCAGTCAGGGTCGGATAGCTAAAGAGCCATAAAACTTTGAGCAACAAACTTCTTGCTTGGACCCTTATCATTTAAATGAGAACATTCTAAACAAAGCTGGTTTCACAGGATTTTACATATTCTTTCTTAGGCCTGATCACTCGTGGAACCAGCCCTTTCTATTATAAGGCTGCACCGCCTTCCCCATCATAGGTTTTTAGGCTTCAATGGATTAGAGCCAGGAAGCGCTTCTCCCAGACAGAAATGGGAACTCGGGCTATGTCAGAATAGTCAGGGGTCAAGGGTCCATCACTCCCTCTTTTTTGTAGCCCCCCGAGTCCTTTCATGATTGCCTCCCAAGTGATTGTGTCTGGCTTAGGTTGCCCCTCCTCTGAGAAGTTGTACCGTCTCTGACTATCTGACCATGCATTGGGGGCAGGGGATGAAACAGAGGCAACATTTGCTACCAGAGACAAGCTTTGTCTCCTTAGTGGCTCAAATTCTGGAGGTCGCTCACTCAGCCTTAGCCATAGGGGGGTTACAACTCCTGAAACCAGGCAGAGCGGTTCCCAACAATTAGCTACATAACCGTCTAACCACTGCGCTGTCCACCTGAAACTAATGTAATACTGAACGTCAACCGTAAAAGTGAAAACCTTCCTAAAATTTAAAAACAATAAAGTAAAACAGGATAAGTAAGGCTCAGGACCAGCATAGAGGGACACGCACACACCCTGTGGGACATGTTATCACTAAGATGCAAATGAAGAGTGTGGAACTGGCTTCACACAGGAGGTCCCACTTGAGCAGGGCCTTGGGTAACCAGCAAGATCTCCCCAGAAGAAAGATGCCCATTGACGCCACCTGGAACATTTACTGTGTGGTTTTTATCAGGAGCTATCAGAGGGGAAAGGAGAAGTAGCAACCGGCAGAAGCAGAACAATGTTCCTCCTTGCACGTGAGCTTTGCCGGATGACAGCAGTGCGGTGAGGTTGTCTGGCCTGGGGAGTGGGCAGCCGAGAGGGAGGAGGAGGAGGAGGAAGGGTGAAAGAATTTGCCGTTACATAAGCGAAGTTGTTACAACACCCACCCCAGCAACTGCTTGCTGCTTCTGTGGCAAATGCAGAAATTGTGCATACGTTTGTCAGTTTAGCCAAAACTATAGGCAAGTGGTGTGTCACTGCAGTAAACAGAAGAGAGAGAGCCTCAGAAACTCTGGGGACCTGCGTTTTTGGTTTTCCAGTTCCTAGCTGTACAGCCTTGGGCAAATCCTCCTTCCTAGGTCTCAGTTTCCCCACCTGTAAAATGAGCGGGAGGACTCAGCGGTTAGAGACTGAAATGGCCACGGGGGTGGGGGGGCCTCACAGGTAACGTAATTCTAAGACCTTAGGCGGCAGTGGGAACTGCGGGGAAGCAGAGAAATGCCCCAGCTCAGCCAGAGAAGCTCAGAACTTCCCGACGAAGGGCAGTGCTGTGCAAGGCTCACCTGCAGGAAATGAGTTAATTTTTTTTATAAAGTGGAAAAAATACTTTTATAGAGCAAATATCCTCTTTATTTAATTTTATTATTCAAGATCTTCTTTTACTTGGGTTGGTTGCACTGAGGTCCAAAAGATGAAATATTCCAAAGGATGGACCCAGGGAATTGCGATCTTAAGAGTTAAGTTATTCTCGCAGCTGAGAGGGGGTTGGGGTTCACGGGGTGAAGGATGCCACCTCCTTAGGTCAGCCCAGAGGGCAATCACACCAAGTCTTTTTCTCTTCCCTTTTTCAGTCTTGAAAGCAAAGCAAATGATCTAATCAAAGTGTTTATTCAAAGATGAGTCACTTCTTCTGTTCTCTTATGATGTCAGAATTTTGCAATAGGGGAGGAGTTGAATTTGCAATGGGTTTCCACACTCCAATGTGTTACCACCAAAAAGATGTGTGTGTGGCTATTTATAGGACAAGGAGGAGTCTAAATTAGGAGCCACCTCTCAGACCCAGGGAATCTGGGGAGCAGGAACCTTTCATGGGGAGGCTGTGGCGGATACACTTCACTCCACCACCCCAGGCCTCCGCTTCTGCTCTTGCTGCACAGGTCAGTGGATCGCGGCTCAGCTAAAGAAACTCTTCTTCTCGAGGCTCCTCAGTCGGAAGGGAGAACATGAAAAATCTCTTCCGAATAACTCTGGAATGCAGAGCTGTACCATTCCTGCACAGTTTGGTCCCCATAAGAAGTTGCTGCGTGTATACATTGGAAACCTCGGTGCTCTCCCTAGAAAGTTCACTCATTCGTTCGTTGCACTACCGTGCTGGGTGGCTCCTGTGCGCCAGGACTTCAGTGGAGTCTGGCTACCATGCTTTTAGGAACTCAGGGACTTAGAATGCTTGGCCTCAAACAGCTATTAAACTGCCTACATCTAAGTGAGGTAGGGACAGGGCTTGAACTTGGCAGATAGGAGGGACATGATAACAACCGCTCTTGTCATTCAGTCATTCACGAGGCAAACATGCCTTGTGCCCGCAGTAGGTTACAGGGAGAAATCACATGGAGTCCCGGTCCTCAGAGGAACTCCAATTCATAGATATAAAGGGCAATACAGTATTAACAGTCATAACATTTAAACTGACTGTTTCAATCAAGGGTGGTAAGTGCAGTGATGGATAGGCAGAGGGGAGGGGCCTGAGGAGGTCAGAGAAGGTTTGAACTGAGTGGCCTATGGCCACTTTGGTGACTCTCATCGAACTGCATGCCTCCCTCCACATATTCCTCTCCTGTGTGGACCCCTCCCATGATGAGTCCAAGTTTGACTTTGTGACCAGCTTAAGCCAAGAGTCACTAGTAAGGATGATGCAAGCTGCCGCTTGCAAAGTACTTGCACAATGGAGCTTGCTCTCTTGGACTGCTTCTTCCTGGGACCTGGCTGCCATGCTTTAAGGAAACACCATCAGCCATGTGAGTAGGGCAATGGTGAGATCACCCCTGAGACCTGCCCTCGGCGCAGCTCTGGCAAAGCACGGTTGGTTGGGTCAAGGAGTCCTCCCAAAATCACTTGCTCCATCCGCAATCATTTCTTGAGCCCACACTGGGAAAACAAAACCTCCTAGAGGCAACTTCATTCCTTTCCCTCTAAAACTCTCTGACTTAAAGCTCTATTGTCATGAAATGAAACTGAGTGTGACATGGACTTCTTTGTTCTGTGCGACTCTACCCCAAGTGCAGAAGGGTTGACAGCAAGGCCGGGCAGAAGAAACTGGACCTCTATGTTTTTTAATCATATAAGAATTGAAACACAAGAAAAATATAGAGAATAACATCTGCCACCCCGCTTTGCCAGTCTTTGAATTTCCCATATTTATTTCAAATCATTTCGGTAGAGATGAAACTCCTGTGTACTCCTCCCCAATCCTGGTCCTCGCCCTCCCTCCCTTCAATATGCTGTTTATTACCCCCATGTGCATATTTATACATTTACTATGTATAAGTGTGTCATACAGAGTATATGGTGGTGTTTTGCATGACTCAAATTTTTACACTAATCATATACTTTACATAAGCTCTACAGCTTGCTGTTTTTACTCAGTGATGTTTTCTGATGTTAGCTATGCTAATGTAGCTCTTGTTCCCTCATTTTACCTGTACAGTGTTCCACTTTGTGAATACTTATCCACCCTCCTACTGGGGGGCACTTGGTTGTTTCCATGC